GCTGACGTCGATGACGTAGATGATAAAGTCGGCGAGCTCCGCGGCTGTAGTTGGCGCGAAGGTTGTCGCCGCCCGACTCGATGAGGAGGAGGTCCGTGTCGAACTCGCGGTGCAGGTCCTCGAGCGCGGCGAGGTTGGTCGAGATGTCCTCGGCCACGGCGGCGTGCGGGCAGCCGCCCGTCTCGATGGCGCGGATGCGCGAGGCCGGCAGGGCCTTGTGGCGGGTCAGGAACTCGGCGTCCTCGCGCGTGAAGATGTCGTTGGTCACGGCGGCGAGCGAGTACTTTTCGCGCAGCGCCCGCGAGAGCGCCAGCATGAGGGCCGTCTTGCCGGAACCCACGGGTCTGCCGTCTCGTCAGCATGGTGCGCCAGCGTCTCTATCAGGGGGGGGGAATAGCAGGATGCAGGAAAGGGGGTGCAAGGGTGCAAGGGGGGAGGGGGCAGGGCGCACCCGCCGATGCCGATGGTGAAGGCTCGGTCAGACCAGTTGCGGCCCTCTACGATGGGCATCTCGCGGCCGAGGTAGCTGCCGGGGCCGTCAAGGATCTCGTGCGAGTGGCCATGCTCAGCCGCTGCGATGCTGGCATCATGGGAGTGGGAGTGGCTGGCACCGCCGTCGTGCGAGTGAGACATGGTCGTGTGGGAGAAGATGCGAAAGTCAGACGAACGGGAGAATAAAAAAGGGATGATCTGTGGGAAGCGCAGAGGGTGTGATCACAAGTTGACTGATGGTTCAATGGGTGCTAGAGGAGAAGAATGGTTGGAAAAAGCTGAAAGTCTGTCGAGGAGTGACGATCAGAGGGATCCATGGGCCTGGAGCTATGCTGGGTTCTTGCTACCCCGCTGTGGGTCATTTTCACCCCGCCATCTGGGTCTCCCTGAACCCCTTTATTGGTGGTGCATCTTATCAGACACCCCATGGCCTCGCCGCCGGCGCTGGCCGCGGTGCCGCCCGGAGGTCACTGTCCACGGCGTGCAGTGTTCAAGGCATGAGTGTTCGAGAGAAATTCAAGTCACTCTTTGTGTGTACGTTGTCTGCAGCTTACCGGGTCGACCGCTTCCTCGTAAACCCGTGTTCATAGACCCATCGTCCGTGGTGGTTGCTGACCACTGCAACATGGCCATGCCATCAGTTTCTCTCATCACATGAACATCATGATACTAGGTATGAATCGAACCAAGTTGATCAAAACGAACACCAGATATAAACAGCATGTTGACGCCCACCTGCTCCTGTACTGTGTCTGCAATTGCTGACCCGGGTATCCTATGTATGCCCTCCGTCCTCATGTCTGTTGATCCTTGTCGTTTCTGCCCCATGACGCCGTCAGCCCCTCGCCGGAGGCCAGGTATGCAGATCCCTTTTGTCATTTACTTTTTCGTATCTTCGCCCTGGTCGTTCTTCGCTTTCGGCGGCTTGGGTATCCTCTCGTAGGCATTCGGACTGGGCAGCCGCTTCTCCTTGCCTTTGTCCGCCACCGCGTCTGTCA